GTATGAACTACTGGATCAACAATATAACCCATCCTTCACCAACACTAGATGTAGAATTAGGACAGCGAACAATAGTACTGTATCCTGTGGTGTTTGAATGAACTAATGATTCCGCTGTACTTCTTGAATGCTTGATTTCGAATTTCAAATACAATACATTCGTTCGTGCTTATCGAGTACTTCTTGATCCACTTGCGTTATTTCTCGGATTCCTAGTTGGTACTGTAATTCAAATACTTCTAATCATCATATAACCTCAATAGTTATTCTTTAAATTTCAAACTGCTATGGTTTTCCAGCTACAATAGTGAAACTCAAGGAACACAAAAAAAGGAAAAAAAGGGGAAATGTCGCTTTTTCCCCCTTACGTCGTGTATTTGGGGGAAATTTGTCGACAGTTCTACGTAACGTACAGTGTTTGAAGGAACCGCATAGGGAACTGAAGTTTTCATAAACTTTGAGAAATTTAGGCACCGTTTAATAAAAAACAAAAGTATTGTCATAGAAACAATGTACAAAATACGGAAATAGGCATTCGACTGATACGCATATAGAGTGACTTCGTTTGTTGTCTAGCTAAAGTGTTCCGACATGCTTTGGAGCCATCACAAAAAACTTACGTGATGCAGGTGATTGACGTGCTCTCAGATTTTCATGTTCATTGTGACTGATTATCTTGTAAGGCCAATACTATGAGTTCTATTGAAGTCAGTGAGAATGTTCGTAGACATAGAGCCACTGTGAACTTGTCACGTTCCCTTGGCTGTCATAGATCCACTTATAACAGAAGGTGGGATAAAATGAAAGCTGCTTTCATGAAAAAATATCACTTTCTTTCGTTCAGTGAGTTTACTAATGAAATCACCCTTAAAGGTAACTGAGTTTAATAATGTTGTTTACTTAATTGATAGAAGTAAAGAGAGAAGTCAGTTGTAATGAAAGTACTTCGACTAGTACACCGTCCACTAGCAACATCAATCAAAGGCTTTCACATAATAGTGGTATGAACATTAAATTCGTAAGTGAATATCTATATAATAGGATATACTGAAGTGAACTTGTGCTCTCAAAAGTTCGTGAATCGCAAAGAACTGATGAACGACTTTATGATGTATCTAATTTCAAATACATCTCTGAGCATAAGAGATGCTGATCGGGTTCTGTATGGTCTAAGATAGATTGTAAATGTATAGCCATAAATTGTAGGAATTATCTAGTTCTAATCCCATTGCTGCATACTTGGCTATAAATGCATTTTTTCCACTAGTGTTTAATAAATAACGACAAATAATTTAGTTTGGTCTTATGTTTTTTTCAGCCCGCTAACAAGAAGTACGTCATTGTTGACGTTCTCAGCAAAAAACAACTGATGATCGCATCCAAGGAGTGGCTAGTAGGCAAGGAACTTTGCGCTTTTCCGAATGAGATGGTCGATATACACCTTCAGAAGTGCGACCAACCGAATGAAAATTGGTCACTTCTGAAATGTAAAGTTATTCACCAATTAGGTAAGTTACATACACAGAAAGTATAATTCACTATAGATTCTCTGCAGTCTGCCAAAGATCTGTTATTTTCCATAGAAATACTGCAATCCCAACGGGAAAATATTTCAACGGATGAAAATACTCTGCCACATAACACTGAGAAGCACAAGAGGTATGTAAAATAATCTTACTAACATTTCCTAGAGCTGCCATGAAGCGTAAACAAGAATATCTTTACAATTCAGTACACATGGATGTTGCTGAAATGCAGGCTGGCAATACTCATGTTCAATATCCCGAATTCAGGTTGTTTTACAAATTTGTTTCGCCTATTGCTAAGTACGTTTCATGACTATTTACATGTTCAAAAATTAGTTCGACGCAATTAGAGACATCCCCGTCTACATCTGCATCAAAGCGTGTCCATGGTACTTCAGCAGACCAGTAAGTCACCTGCATCATCAAGTAGACTTTTTCAGGTTAGATAGGTTGGATGCAATGGTGCAAAACATTTCGTCAACCATGAATGACTTCCGTCAAACGTTGCTGCATATGTTAACAGCCATTTCGGATTTGACTGTTAATGTAAAACAATTGCTTTAGAAGTCTAATGAGCGCGAAAGACCGCATCATTTCGATTGCGGACTATCGAGTCAGCAGTTCTCTTTGTCATCTGAAGAGGAACTACAGATGCTAGATACTGGTTTGTCGCAGAAAGAAACCAGGGACAGATTTGTAAGTCATTTACATGAATTTAATAATTTGTTACTATTACAGATGGCAATGGTCACTAGGTTATCGGGTGACGATCCAAAAACGTAGATGCGTTTTGTTCTGTCGCATCTGCTGACACCGGAGGTTGCCAGTAAATTCACGTTACTTGGCACCTCTTCAAAACGAGCACTACAGAAATGCACGTTTTACAGCTGCATACGAAGTAACCTATATCTATTACTTAAACTTCAGGTGCCTTAACTCCTCGTTTTTTGTCATCCTCTGTCAACGAAAAAGACCTTGGTAAGCTCTACGACATCGCGACACAAGGTTACTTTCACGACATCCGAGACAAGATGATAAAACGAAATAGAAGAAAAGAAAATCAGGTATGTACTAATTTAAAGTGATAACCTCCCTACGGCTCTATAGTTACAGTCAACAATACTAACGAACATAACCGTAAGTTCAGCTTCAAGTATTTGGCTGTACAAAAGCATGTCGTTGAGATATGGTTGTGACTTTTTTGTTTTGTTTTTTTTTAAATTCAGAATTCACAGGACGACTACCTCAATTCTGAATAGTCCGTGCAATTGTTTTGATGTTCTACCTCGATTTCAATAAACATTATTCTTTCAAACAGCTTACTCTTTTACTTACACGGGAAACTGTTGAAGTGTTGAGAATGTGTGTTTGAGTTTCAGTGAACTTTTGATTAAATGCACATTCCTTATGAATAAAATATAACCTGTTCCTTCTTTTTCAGATTAATTCAAATAACAATGAATTAGCAATTGCATTGGATATGCAAAACAATCGATGCTTAAGCTTTTGCTCTACTGTTGTACAATAATACGTTTTTCTTTTCAAATAAAATTTTGAAATAACTTACCGCATTTCCACTGCATTGCAGATATATTTTGGTCTGTTGTTGAAAATAAAGGCGAACATAGGAGACCTTTGGGGTTCTGTCGATCGATAGAAAATAGGAGGTAATATGTGTATTAAGGCGATAAGTAGACAATTAAGCACATAAGTAGGCGATTCGGCGGATATTTAGGCGAAAATGCGACAAATCGACAGATATTTAGGCGATAAGTCGGTAATTTTTCGACAAAAAGGCGAAAAAAGGGAAAATCCGCATTATTTACCTCGGACAGGCGCAAAAGGCGACATTCTGGCGCGTTTTTCCCTTTATTTTCCCTTTCGCCACCAAAGCATTTACCCCTTTATTTCCCCTTTCTTTGCCTTTATTTCCCCTTTTTGGGTTGCTTGGGAATGTTAATAATGATTGCTAAGGAATGCAATCAGTTCAAAAACGTTACAGAAAGAGCACTAGCCAGTTAGTGTTCGTATGAAATGGTGAACTCTTAGAATCTCAGAGACTCTCATGTTGAATTTCCAAGTAAAATATCTTGTGGATTTACATGACACTTTGTCCATCTTCCAGTACAGTTTTTCGATAAAACCAAAGATTTTCAAGTAATCAACGATGAACTTGTATCCTAGAGTGTCGTAGCCTAATTTCTTTTTTTAAAAAGTCGTTCAATGACACTACTTTTTTTCCACGAAGTATATAAACTTTTCAGAAGACCAAATATGAATCTTAGAACTCACTAGACCTCATGAAAATCTGTCGAAATAAACGGAAATTTCCTAATCATCATCCAGAGATGTCTATTAAACCGTCACGTGGCACGAAATCATCGACAAATTTCACCTAACGAATTATTCCACTGTGAATGAAAGACATTTGACATCGTGAACATATGTTTAGAGATGAGAATAATTGAAGTGCCAAACAAATTCACAAAATATTTAAAATCGGTACTGTTTATTCAAACCGAGATTTTAGATGGATCGTTCATAACAGCTTGAGAAATCAGAGCATTACAGTGACAGACGGTAAATTATGGATTGACAGCTTTGAGAGACCATATTCGTCAGTATATTTATGCTTGTACAAACTGAATTACAAGCTCAGTTCGGTCCTCAATAAGTCTAGCTAGTAAGTGCTACTGAGAAGAACAGTGAATTTATGCGATTCAAAATTCATTTTAGCAAGACTTCGTTTTTTAGTTTTACCTACTCTTGGATTAAGAAGTTCAAGGCACATGACAATGTAATATTCATGAGATGTAGCTATATTTAGCACCTCTTTAATTTATTTCCACTAGCCACGGACAAGCAAATCTGATTCACTTAGTTATCACGATTACGCGAACCAGTTTTCGGAGCAGTCGTGCGTTTCGACTTTGTCATTGGCCAGGGCACACCATTCCTGTCTAACTGGAGTTAACAGAACGTCAACAGAGATAACTTGTCTTGGTTAACTGCATGCATTAATAATCCCGAATAACTTTTTGTTTAGATAACCAAACCTCACTAATTTAGCTACCAATAACATGGACTAGCTTGTTATTACGACTGTTCTTCGTTGCCTATTTGGAGAAAATTCTCGTATAAATGTCTGGCGTCATATTGTGTTATAATAAAGAATATGATCATCAAATTCCCAGTATAAGGTTACGCAGTGAGGCTAAAATATTTCGTTTCGGTAAAAAAAATTGAGCGAGAAACAAATCGTTCAGATTAAAATCTGAAGTCCAATATATCAAAGTGTCAACATTGAAAGAATCCTCAAAAAGTTCAATATTCTCATTCACAAACGTGTAGATTTGTTTTTACAATAATTGTATATTTACATTTTGCTTATCTTTGTTGAAGACGGATGATTTTGTACTTTCTTTGAGGTGCAGAGATTGTTCGTTTAAGTTCATCACTGAACAATCATCTGAGGCGTAATGTTTGGGAGGTGTTTTAAACACACACACTTTTCTCTGGTGAACTTCTTGCTTGATAGCCGTAGTTTAGTAACGTTATGACTATTTTGTTCTTCAGTGTTGCTTTTTGATTCACTTATCAGGTTAAGTCCATTTCACATGCCTTTGGAGTCATCAGTTCTAATTTTAGCATGTGCTTTTCTGTTTTATAAAACAGAAGGTGATTATAATTATATTCACCATCACATTCTACTTTTCATGCTCTTTAAAAACACAATGTATCTTCCGTGTAGATGCTTAGGTTTTATCGGCTGATAACTTTATCAAACGCTAGTCATTCTAGGTTGTGATGAAAGGCTCAGTAATTAATTACTATTATATGATAGTGATTGTAATTACTATCAGTGGATGTAATAAGTGGAACGTTTTGTTATGGAACAGGAATAGTGGTGTAAAACCATCTACAAGAGATCTAGAAAATAAATTTTAGAGATTCCTTATGTTTATACTAAATGTGTAAAACTGCGCTGGTTCGACGACAGTTTGTTCCTCACCAGTGAACTGGAGAAGCCTTAATGAATTATATCTCGTGTGAGAGTAAGGCATATGATAATTTTAGACGACAGTCAACTTGCTTACTTGAGGTTACAAATGGTGTTTCCTAAGTTTGTGTGGCAATTTATTTACAATTTTTAGCTAAATTTTTGCAAGGATCATAATACGTGCAGTTTTATGAAATTGGCTTGGCAAACACCGGATGCACTTTTATTGCTGATGAAAAAGGAAGAGCTACACCAACTAATTGGTATTGACGTAGTTAGGTCACTGTCTACAACAGACACGGAAACCTCTATATCCTGGTGATGACTGATTATATCAACAAGTGGTGCAAATCTGTTCCTATCACACAACAAATTACCCCATGCATTACATAAGCCTACATCAACCACTGAGCTTCTCTCTACATAACTCTTTCTTATGATCTCTAATAGCAAACTAACATACAAATTTAAAATAACATGAATATAAATGAAAAATCTTGTTTTCATCTGGGTTCCGAACCCGTTATATTTTCACCTCCTGGCTTATCGGCCCGCTCTGTAACGACAATAGCAATCTGATTTGAACCAGTGTCCGCTAGCTCACATGAAATGTCTGCTGGACGATGGGTTCGTCAGCTCTCCTTTCCTTTATTGCTTTGACGGATACTTATTTACTGCATTACATTAAGAGACATCGTACTCCTAAAATTCTTTCATCTGTCACACGGACTTTAGAGTTGATAGGTTACTAGTGAGGAACTTTAACCTATCAAATTTCAGTTTTGATCATCAGATTTTGTTAGTCTGTTGTTTGAATTACCTCTATTCATTGCTAGGAAATATAATTTCATTATATTTTCCGACTGTTTCGTTGGTTTACTTCTTCTCTCATTTCCTTCCTTTTTTAAATTTCCCCACAAGCCCTTTCTCCATATAAAATATCACAAGACTAGACGCAACTCGCTACTGATTTGCATTTCACCGGGAAAGGTACTTCTGAGATAATTACAATTATCTGGCCGAGTTAAACACTATTAATTACTAAGTAAAATTTTTATTTTGTGTAAGTTCATTTTTTATGAAAATTGGTTGTGCTTCATGAAAATCATAACATGTTTTAAGTCGCTCATCGGAGGTTTTAAAAGTGCAATTAACAACGTGTACACATGGATTCTTCTCGATATATCAAACCTATATTATAGACTTTATGAGAAGCCTGTGTTATATTGTCACTAAAAATAACTTAGCTTCACCACATCATCTTTAAAGGCATAGTAAACTGTACTCGAGGTTAAAATAAATAACTTCACTGCTATCAAATTCGTTAACCTTTTCTTATAGCTTAGCTTAAGATATATTCACTTGTATCTTACTTTTGTTTGTGCTCATTTAATCTTCCCTTGTCAGCTAAAAATTTAGAGTGCAATGTACGGTAATCCTGAGTTCTTACATGGACAATTTGGAGACAAATAAATGACCACATCACTTCTCTTTGAAAGAAGTGCCTCTATATGAATAAGAAATGTATATTGTCAACATATCGGTTATGTTCTTCTTAATAAACGTCTGAAGTAAATGAATTCTGATGACCATTGTATGCTAACAGTTACTGATAAATAACCTGTTAGTGGTATAAATAAATAAACTAGGAATTTCATATAGCATTTACACTTACATATTGTTAACTAAAAGAAAGCATACTTATATGCATTGACCGTGTTTCAATTTATTTTTGTTTGTTTTTCAATGGAAAACTGTTTCATGTCATATCACTAACTCTAGCTTAAAATAATTTTTCATGTTTACTCTAGCCACATACTTTTTTATAATATTTTAGATAGTTAAGATAAAGTATGAGTTAATGATTTGTGTATAGGAAGGCTGTGGTAACACTTTAACTTTGTCCGTTTAAAACCTTCTAAAAATGTATCAAAATCTTTCAATGGATATTCTTTTTATGTTTTTGGATGAGATTATGTTGCTTACATCATAAACTTTGGTATATTTATTTAAATCAGTTTATACTGTCACTTATGAACTATGGTACTAAATAATGTGGACTGTTCAGATAGGTGATCCTTTTCGTCAAAACATTATCCGTGATATCTGATTTCAGACATTAACGTTTTAAGTTGTTTTCGTAAACGTTTATGCGCTGTTGACGTTAAAACACTAATAAATGAGAGCTTAGTGTCAGAAGGCCTAATATAGATGTTTTATGGGAAGAAACACTTCAAACTCAATTTCGCATTAGGCGAAATGGGAAATACCGCACAAAACACAGTGCTTAAAAGACATGTTAAGGAGGTTTTGTCTAAACCTCTCGAGATAACTTTTGTTAGTTTTTGTGACGAAATTTTTAGAAGTTCAGAAGAGAAAAGTGAACGGGTGAGGTTGAGTTATTAAATTTTGGTTACACTTCGTTAAAAAAACTAGAAATAAAAATAAGCATATTATAAAACACCTTTGACTTCGAGCAGAAATTTGCTTACAGGGATCAACAGCATGACACCTACCAGACACTGAAAACGATGTGAATTTGATTAGTTCATCCAAGGCTATCAATAAATAGTTCAGTTCCACGTCGTTTAAATGCACAAAAGCCATAGCAGATATATGGCTTAAACCTAGTCTTTGTATTTAAGAATCAGTAGTTAACCCTTAACTGCCTTGATAACAATTTGGCTCGTTTTCTCAACTAATTACAGTCGTAATTTAGTGAGTTTACCTTATCCATCTACTTTTCTGTTCTAAAATTACGAAAATTATCTCAATAGATTTTACCTTACCATGTTTGTGTGATGAATATCATCTGAAACTAAGCTAATTTATCAGATATTTTGCTTTTTTTCTCTTAGTTTAATAGATTATCATTTTGTTCATCTACCAACCAATGTATGATAAATTTATGTGACTCATTTTGTGAAAGTTCCGAGTATATATAATGTGTTACATATTCACTCATGTTAAATAGTGCTTGCAGTTATTTCACTTACAGTCTTTTCTTCTACTCAGTTCCTTTGCTGAACTCAGACCTACTGACACAAAGATTTTAATATAACAAGAAGTCCGTAGTTGAAGATATATTGGTAATCATAAGGAATAATAACCCTTGGGATAAGTAAATAAAAACTAACGTTTAAGACTAAAAAAGTTGGATCTGGTGTTTGATTAAAACTTTCTTGATTAACAATTTTCTTTCCAAAATGTAATGTTACTTTAGGATATCAAACTTCACTTCTGTAGAAAATCTTGTTTTTAATTACGTTTTAGTGTTTTAGCATGAAGTAAGATGGTGAAATATTGCAGATTATTCTCAAGTTTTTCAGTTTACTATTAATCGGGTTAGTAATTCTTTCGTTCAACTATCGTGGGGGTATTATCACTATATTTATCAGATTTACCTATCAAGAAACTGTTCTGCCCCAATCAATAATGTTCGTTATTATTTAGAAATAATTGGCCGTTGTGAAAAGATCGTCTGTTTTGATTTTAATCTCTTTAAATTTAGACTAGAAACTACCAACCGCATCGAATAATTTTATCATTCATCTGTTAGTACTTATTGTTTTATAAGTAATATATTTTAGTGACTCAAAGTTTTGCTGCTTTTTCGCTGAATGACAGCGATTTTGTCACATAATTGTTCTTGTACAAAGTCTATTTGTTGAAATCAACGCTTCGCAACACTTAGGTTCATTCGTCTTTTTTTTATTTTCCATACCCTTAGATACATGTTACCCGTCCCCCCATCTCATGAAAAAGGCACACCAAGCTGGTCATCACTTAAACGCAAATCATGGCTTCATCCAAATTCTTTAAACTATGCACGAGAAAATGTTTATGATAGTCATTTGCTGAAGTAGGATTTTTTTAAATAAATGCGTGATATTTTAATTACATTATCATTTAATAACCTAGTCAACTTAATCCTTTTCACTATATTTCACATAGATCCATGTCTACTGGTCTATGTTTGAAAACAGCTCTCGACTTAGATTTCAATTAATTTTCCTTAATGATGTTCTTCTATTGTTAAGGTAGTCATAGTATTGCACAATTTTTGTTAATAGTTGTAACGTCCTATCAGGAATGGTATTTGTGAGCGCTTTGTTTCTAATTTAATTCTTCAAACTATCTTTGCCACTTTTCTAATATCTCGATACTACTTACAACTTGATAATTTTCTGTAACCTTGAACGTCATTGCTTAGTTAGCGTTAACGCCTGGTTGTATTTTTTGGAGTTCTTGTGTTTCAAGATTAGTTTTTCCTATGCTTTATCCTCTGTATATGACCAACTGAAAATGCTAAAAGACTAGTCAGATGCATTTTACTACTGAATTCTGATGTTATATTATTTCCTTATTGAAGTTTAATTTCATTACTTGATTTTCGTTGCGAATGTTTAAACACTTTTCCTGTGTGAATAAGCATGAAACCGAGTGAAATTTATAATACTAGGTGTAGATGGGAATATTATAATACTGATTGTTATTTAAGAATTTACAAGACATTTCATAATGTCAACCATTTGTTTATTAAATTTACATATACATGGCTTTGACTCATAGTGTTTGTATATGAGCTAGTAAAGTTATCCGATTGTCAAGGCCAAAATAAACGATTTGTGCTCCTAACTTGCAAACTAGTGTTTAAAAACTGAATTTTATATGATATTCAATTACTTTATTGTGTTTTAAATGAATGACCTGATAGTTTGTAGTGACCCAAACACAAAGTTGGTTGTTTATTACACAGGTTGTAACGTTTTTTCATTTTCTCAATGAAAGGAGGAACAGATTTATGAGGCTTCAAAACCTCGTTAAAGCCGTATCCAAAGTCGCATAATTTCAAAAACATTCTCTAGACCTAATGAAAAAAATGAAAATTCGTCATAAGTAATGACTGTTGTTAAACTATAGTATTGGCTGCCCACTTGTGCCATTTGACGTGGCTCATTTCTAAAGTTTTACGTCTGTGACTACTATACATTCCCTACACCTGACATAGCATCAGTAGCATATATAATGTTCAGTGAATAGATGCATATTTCTCATTATTTTGATCGAGTTCTTATATATGTAGTCTTGAAAATATTGAGGCATAATACTTTATTTATTCAATATTCAGTTAATATCCATCCATTTGAATTCATGTAGATACTTATGTTGTAAATATTTTCACTTTTTTTCTTTTAGAACCAAGAAAGTAGCTGAACATGAACCTATGTTATTGCCCAGTTGTCTTCCTTATTCATGTGTCCCACCAGTTAGGATACTTAAAATGGTAAGATTTGTTGACTCACTTCATCATTGGATGATTTCATCGATTGATTTTATTAGAGTAGAATAATATGCCTATTATATAGATTGACGATAGAGCGCTTAAATTATTATGAAATGTAGATGAATGTGAAACGTTTGTCAGATTTTTACTGAAAAACTACAGAGAGTCTAATTCAACCACTTCAGATGTAAAACTGCTATCATCAATTCCAACTCGTAAATATGGTTCATGTGACTAAGTTTAAGCTTCTTTCTATTATACTAATCATTATATTGTTAATCTTTTTACAGGAAACCCAAAATACTACTGAATATCAATTTCCTCTTATCTTGTATAATAATGAAATGCTAAAAGAAAATTTCATATCACCTGTAAACAAACATTTATATTTGCCTAAAAATATTAAAATAAGAAAGAAATTAACATCAATGAATAATATTCAATTATTAAAACTCCCGGCAAATTGTTCAATATTACCATGGGAATATAATAGTAATAATAATAATAGTAATATAAATAAACTACTATCTTTAGATGAAATTAAATCCCTGACTAAATTCAATTCAAAAACAATGAAAAAATTTAAACAACAAAATGCTGTAAAATTAAATTTATTAAAAAGTCATTTCTTAGCAAATGAATATGATTTACAAAACAAGTCCAATATATATCAATTATTAAAATTACATCAAAATAATTTTACTACTAATTTTCAATTAAGTAGTAATGTTAAACTATTACAATTACCACATTTATATCATTCAATTGAAAGACAATTTCCTGATCATAAAACTGATAATAAAATTTCTAGCAATGACAATATAACTTCAAGAGAAGCATACCACTCAAATTTAAAAAAAACTAAAGACTGTAAATCAACATCAAATGAATATACATTACAAATATTAACATATCCAATGAATAATGAAGAACAGCCTACGTTAAATGATATTTCATGGGTATTGGAAACAACTAAGGAAAATATTAAACCTATTTCTGTGGAAAATTTTAACGTACCACAATGTAAATTTGATTCTCCTATTCAAAATGATAAAAAATCTTATAATGATTGTGGAGTTCAATTTAATTTTGTTGATTATGGTGAACCTAATACTCAAAGTAAGTTGAATCTAGATGCAGTTAATTAGTTTGTTGTTATATTTTTAGAGTATCATTGGATAAATAAATATAAGTGTTGATGAAACAGTCAATAAGAGACTGTCGAATTATTGAATTCCTGAACCGATTTAAGGTACATCATCATTGAAAATCTGGATTCATTGGATCGTCATTTCTTTCTAATGCGGGACTCTTCAACAGTACTCATCTACAGTCATGCACGCTGAAGGACCATGACCCTCGGTTTGGCTCACGAACGCATAAATTTTAGAATACTTGTTCAGTATCCGATCGCTTTATTGCCTAACTTTGATCAATCCACGAAATTTTAGGTAGGCAACTGCTTCACACCCGATACATTCTCACTTACTTTTTTAAATGGTAATGAAATGAATATGGACAAACATTTTGGATTGTATAAAAGAGGTGATACCGAAAACCTCAAGCTGTAAAATAAATGATAAATTGCTAAATATATCCAATATACGAAGAAAACACGATCACTAATAAGTGGTTCTCTTACAACTACTGTCGTATATTCTCTGCTGTAGTTAATACATTGCCTTATATCATCAAACTTCAGACATTATAAATGTCAGCTATGTTAGTTAGAGTGAATTACATTGAGCATAAAATTTACTCTGCAACCCAACAGTATTCAGCACTTCAGCGAATGATGACACAATGACGTTTGAAGCAAGTGGTACTGGGTTCAAGTGTCAATCTAGACATCAACATAAAAGTACAGTTACTCCCGATTTACGAATTTGAAATAGAAATAAATGCACTTTCTGAATTCCACTAGCAGCTGCTATCTGAGTTATAATTTATCTAAGGTGTTTTGGTCTCAAACTAGTACTACAGTTTAGTTAACTAGTCAAACGACACTTTTTATTTAAATATTCATGCTTATCGTAATAAGAAAGCGGAAAGTTCACTATTTTATCAGTTAAAATATTACCAAAAGTAATAAATGTAGTTCTTTCACAAAAATTTTGATTGGATTAAATTCATTTTGACTGAAAATTGAGTTATTCTTGGATCTAGGTCTTTTACTAAACTGTTAGACTATATTAGTCTCTTAATTTTTCCAATGATGCCACACTTCTCATGGGTAATATTTGCAGTAATATATATATATATATATATATATATATATATATATATATATATATATATTCAATCTTCTGAATTTCAGTTATTTAAAATGGATTTATTATTATAAAAGGAATTTATTTTTACCTACGAATTTTCATTTTGCAGTTGGTTGCAATACATTTACTAACTGTAAGAATGCAGCATGGCCTTCAGATTGTGTTGAACAACTGTTGTCCAATGATATTGCAGTAAGTTTTTGTGTTATCAGTTAATTATGTTCCTTCTTCGTTACGTTATACTGTTGTTTGTACTAACTTATAAGTATGATAGTAATGTATAACGTACACAAACCCATGACTTTCATGTGAACTATCTACATATTCTTATATTTTATAATTTACCAATGTGCTATGAATTAGGGATGTGGCAGTGGACATTTTGAATGTAGTTCTTAACTTCGAAATCTACTAAAAACTGCGATACTGTTTTCGCTGAATATATATATAGCCCATTACGACGAGAAAAAGAAACAACAGAAGATAACCACTTAATTTAAGTGTGATTCCTGTTCGGTATTACTACCGTTTCAAATTCGTTCTAGTAACTTCGGAGTACAAAATTGGTCTATTTCAAAATGATATTTATTCAGTACAATATTCATTCCGTTCAGTATGATGTGTAGCCAGCATTTTGCAGTAATTTTGTATTACATCTGTTTTGTATTTCCTGTATTTGGGTTATGTGTGCTACTAGCTGACTAATCATCAATTGTAAGACTGATACACAAATGAGTGTATCTGGTTATCATGGTTGTTTTTTTTGTCTGGTGAATAGAATTTACTGCCGGTGTCAGTTTTTATCTTCTCCTTTGATAAGCATTGTATTAGAGAACTAAATCTGTCGTCGTTTATGGCATACAACCAAAAAAACTACGACTAATTTACTGATTACACAATCAATAATCGATCAAAGATGAAAATTAAGGTCATAAAGTTTACAATAATTCCTTGTCTCTGCTCACCATAAAATGGTTTATTTCCGTATTTAGTCTCCTTATAAAGCCAGTGAAAAGTGCGTAGAAATGTATTACTTTGAAATTTTACAGTTATCTTACAATACATTATGCTATCTAAATTAATATTTCTGGAAAACTGAAAAGAAAATTAGAAACAGTGAAGGAATTTTAACTGTTATACTAAGAAATGACTTATATTTTAAAACTCTCAAGTCTGTTTTCCAATCACTTAAATTAACACCCAAGCACAGTACTATTTTTGGATAAATAATCTAGTTGATCTTGCCCCCCAACTGCCCTGGTACGGCCGAGGATGGGGAGAGTTCGCCCTCCCTATCAAAATGCTCTCACATGACCACAAGTATACAGCTAATGTCAGTCAAGTCCTACTCACTATCTTCTCGCAGCACAGGTGTTGTTTACGAAATTGAGAGGACGAGAAGCGAATGTCAGGCGCTTTAATCGGGTTGGTGGACACGGAGGGTGACTTGTTTGGTGCATATGTATTTAGTACCCGTTTGTATTAGTGTTTATGTGTTCAAACAATAACAATAATAATAGTTGATCTGGATACGTATATGTTAAAAGGACCTCATTATGAAGAACAAAACAATGTGAATTTGGATATTTTCTTCATCTTCATTTTCGCGATTTCCTTTTCTCAATTAAAAACAGTGTTTATGATGAAAAGCAAGTCAAAGTATCAATAATTTATCCTAATATTTGTTATGTTCAATATTTCTTGAATTATTTCTTACTCTTATTAACTTAATCATATTACTTTTATTCTCAATTAGCATGTTACTAAACAATTTCTAAGTATACATACATCTGACCTGATAGATTGGAATAATGAAGATAAATGTATTGTACCATATGTTCCATTACACATTAATACATCCAATATTTATGAACAAAATCATTGTAATCTTATTACACATGTGAATGCACCAGATAACAAACAACCAATAGAAATGAATAATACAATTAGTCCATCAAATATTGTACATAATCAAACATCGTTAATAACAAGATCACAAATAAAAACTGTAACAACAACGACAACAACAACAACGACGACAACAACAACGATAACGAACAATTCTGCTGAGAATAAACCAGAATTATTAATCAGTGATTTAGTTACTGCAAAAATGTTACAAAATTCCAATATAACAAATCAAGATAATAAACAATCAATAAATAATGAAATCACATCATTATTATCATGTAATAAACAAGCATCAAGTTATTTTCCCTTAGATGTAGTAAAAGCATTAAGTGAAATTGATAATCGTTTAAATGTGATTGATCAAGTTTCAGTTCAACTAGAACAAGATCATAAACGTAATCAAGAAGTAAGTATCTAATTTATTTGTAATGAGTTTAAAAATGTGTATTGTAGTTTGTATTAGTATTTTGAGTTTTGTCACAGTCGAGTGTCTATTGATTAATGTCTTTCACATTCCCTCTTCTATGAATTTATAAATGGATGTTATCTGAGGTAGTAAATGTCTACTGTTACTAATCTTGGTCATCTGTCATATATACGAACGATAGTTCCAACAGTTTTCGCCTCATATATCTCAGTAACCGGTTTTCTCTACTCGCATCTTTTTGCCTATTTTAAAAGGAAATAATTAGATTTTGACAATTGAAAAGTCTGACCACATGGTTTTCTGGTGCGAAAATCTTAGACTATTGGCAAACTTAAAATATATTAATTCTTCAGAAACGATAGTTAAATTTAGGAGGTTGGAACAAAGCGACTCAATGTATCAACTACTTACTACAGGGTCACACTAACGTTTTTGCGTTGATAATTCTTGAAATTTATTTCAATTACCTAAATGTATATAACAAAATAAAATGGCGTAATTTCCACTACTGTAATCATACTTGTTATTTTTAACTGTTTCTTTCCATTGTAACATTCTGACGTACCAACTGATCTTTGGTAAGCATGGCACAAAAATATCTCAGTTGAAGTTATCGCCTGTGATCGGTGTTTTATTACCTTAGCATGTTATCTATTAAAAATCATGTTAACATAAAGCGTACTCCCGATCGTTTCCAGGGTGGTTTGCCGTTTTTAATCAGTTCTTACTCAACCTTTCTTCACTTTTGTTGAAAATTTTAAGATTTTTTAAATGTTAATTAATTACTAAAGATTTGTAATTTATGATTCTATTGTGCCACTGATGAAAATCGAAATAGTGGTAAATATACTAAAACGCCTTAAAAATATCTAGGCTAATAAATAATTTTCTAAACTAATTATTGCACGTGAAGTGTTGATCAACATGCTTAGTAGAGGTCAAAATAAGTTAATTACATCATGGGATCTGCCGAATGTAATAGACATATGATATTCAGTCTACGATTCATCGTTCAACATCATTTTAAAAAAAGTCCCAGTTAAGTATACTAAGGAGCATATTCCTTAATCTATTTTACATTTCAGAAGCTTTGGATATCTATAATTTGAAATTTGAGTTAGCTGTTTTAACAGGAATAATTTGTTAGACCCCTATCCTAGTTTATAGTTTTATCTTATTTCACTCATTGAAATCATGAGTCAATTGAAGCTAGACCACCATGGAGAACCTGGAAGCACTGGACGGCCGTTTCGTCCTAGTATGGGTCTCCTCAGCAGTGCGCATCCACGATCCCGCTCCCCGCGAGATTGTTCGTTGTTCCCCTATCCTATTTCTAATTTACTTTCGTTGCTATTTTTATTACTGAGAAAGATTTCTTGATTACCATGTATTTATTTTCATTTCAACTTTATGATATTTACATTTAAACTTTTCATCCCATTGATTATGTGTTTTTCATGTTTAGTTAATTTCCTCCTTTAATAACTATTTGTTTGTTTAAAGTGATGTAATTGGATTTCACATAAAAAACTAATCAAATTCTCAGTACAGGAGTTGTAGAGATTATTGAGTTTTTGATTGAGATCATGAACCGATTGATGTTAGACCGATATCAAAGGCCCTGGGTTCGAATCCCGCCAGCGGGATCGTGGATGCGCACTACTGAGGAATCCTACAATAGGATAAAACAGCCGTCTAGTGCATCCAGGTTTTTTTAATAGTGGTCTAACATCAATCGGTTCATGATCATAATCAAATTCTAACAGACTTATAATGAAGATAAGTATATTGTACCATGTGTTCCACTACACATTAGTACATCCAATATTTATGAACAAAATCATTGTAATCTTATTACAAATGTGAATTCACCAGATAACAAACAACCAATAGAAATGAATAATACAATTATTCATTGACCTATAATTTATCATAAATATATATGTACCGTCTTGCAGCTTTGAAATTGAACTCGAATAGGATTCCTTCGCTGAATAAAATGTTTTAGAATTTAATGAGTAAATTTAAATCAATTGTTTATTGACTGTTAAATATCAGAAGTAATACTTGTAAGACTAATTTGTTTTCATAAAATATCATGACCAAAAACTGAAATATCCACAATATGATCTCCATTAATTGCTACACTCTACTTTGATTTGCTATCAATCTAAACATTTCTGACCTCCAAATGGCTGTTTCATCAATCACTGCTGATTAAGAACAGGATAATAACTAATTTTCCAAGATCTATTTTGTTATTGTCTCAAGATATTTAAATGCATATTTCACTTGACCAACAATTACTGATTCTGAAGTACAAAAATGTCTAGTGTAGGAGTTTTGAAAAAGGTTGAAGGCAACAATGCAAAAATATATGACCAACTGATTAACTCATTAACTAATAAGATGAGATGTGTACAAACTGCCTGATTAAATTCCTTGCATTAATCACCGTCAGTTGTTAGAGACCCTAGCTTATATGACTCAAAATGAGTCATTGTGTCGATTTTGAGTAGTTTTCTAGTTATTGACAGCCTGTAATGAAGTATTCATTCAATTTCTACAGTTTCTCCACAAAAATACTTATCATTAAATTATCATAACTGAATATTGAAATAAAAACCAATTTTTTATTTTTCCATTACAGCTTCTTGAAACAATTATTCAAATGAATAAAGAACAAAGCCAAGTTAATCCATCTATTCAGTTAGATGAACCAAACAAAAGTGAGGCAACTTCTCAACAACAAAAACTACAATTACCTGATGAATTAAATTTGAAAGGCGACCAGTTACATAATCAGTAAGTTTTTGTCGTATTTTGAATTCTTACCGATTCAGTTGATTTAACTACTTCATAAAGATTTATTCTTGATAAATGAATAGGTTTGAACATTTATACTGAAGCTAGAAATCAATATTGAAAATGTTATTATTTATGCTCTACTCTATATTTGAACTGGATAGACATCAGATGTTTAATCCTATCTTGTAATCTAATCATAAATAACACCGAATCTATCTGAAGTTAGACCAGGTAAACTTAATTCAGATGATTAACATTTTTCAGTTTAAATAATCTACAGTACTATGTTGTGTTTATTTAAAAACTATTAGCATGTATTTTTGATTCAAAATATGTTTATTTATTGAGATCGTGAACCGATCACTATTGAAAAATGGTCACACCATATCGTGTATTGATTGAAGTTTGTCATTACCACTGTTGGATGCCGGCTCAGTGGTTCAGAGATTAGGCGTCTGTGTGTGAGGCCGGAGGTCCTGTGTTAGAGTTCCGCGTACAGAATCGTGTTTGGGGATCGCTGAAGGGTCACACACCAGGATGAGACCTCCATCCAGTGCTTCCGAGTTTTCAACGATGGTCTAACATTAATCCCAATAAAAGCTCAACAATCTCTACAACCTTATGTTAACACTTAGTTTATTTCTCAAATTATAGTAGTTTGATTGTGTAAATCAAATTTAGATCTTGATATAGAGGTTTTTAACTTTTATTTTGTATTTATTTTTCTATTTAAATATAATTTATATTTTTTTAGAAGACTAATTGAAAGTAAAATTAATCCTAATGTCCAAAATCAACGACATGATTGTACAATTGTAAAACAACAAATTAAATCGTCTAAACCAAATGAAAGATCACATTCAAACACTGGTCATAATACTGATGAACGTGAAAAACTTAGAAAAGAAAGACGAGAAGTCTCAATGACACGTCGTTGTAATGAAGCTAAACAGTTTGTCAATGAAGTGAGTTTAAAATGTTCGTTAATGAATATCACTATCAGTTTAAATAATATTGTATTCCTAAGTATTGTGTGACACTGACGTTATTCTGAATATTTGTAAAGCATGTATTTTGGAATTTATTTGCTATTACTAGCAACGAAACTCAGGACGTGTGTTTATTCCTCTTTAAGACTCATCAACTTGATACTCCTGAACTCCAGTGTTGGTGATCACATTAAGATTCAGACATCGTACCTCAAACACTAGCTTGTTATTCATCGGACCACTGATGTTTAGATTATCAACTGCAAAGGTTTAAATCATTCTGTTTCTGATATACAGGAACGAATCTTGGTGACACATTTGCGTCCTGACGGCTGTTCTAAGGCAAACGAAAGATGAAATTGTTCAAAATGAGATTTCATAGATAAAACCTAAACTGAGAATTTCAGTGTGTAAAACTAATCAAAGGCACTGTATTTGACTTCTATACAAGCTTTCCTATCACAAACTTTATGCCTATAGTTGCTCCATTTCAGAAAGAGCGATATTTTTTACTAGTGAATTCAATCATTGTAAAATTATTTATTCGAAGTCTACTACTTGAAACATTTTATTGCAGTTTAGAATTCAGCAGAATAATCGTGGCACATTTATAAGTTTGTCTATTAGTAGTCTCCTTTAATAAGATTTATATGCATGTTTTAAATAATTTTTAGTGATTTTATTATAGAGATTCCATGGTACTAAAGTATGATAGTGTACAGATATAATCAACTTTACAGTCAGCATAACATTGGCTGGATTTCGATCGATTGTTATCATAGTGAAATTGATTTTGGAATAAGTCAACTTTTAACCATCATTTCAATGATTACTTTGAAAGTCATTTAGACGTAGAACTGATCCTCATAACCAAAATGAAAGTTGTTTTAAACTAGTCGCGAAGTAATAGTTATTATTTGAGTAATGCAAGTCTTATAATTAACATTGTGTAATATCTACTTGACGATATCAAGGAATAGCTTTTGTTTGGACGTCAACGTTCATCATATGGTTTGATACCAACCATTCTATTATTTTGTAAACAGAATATTTCAATAAATTCACTATTTTTGAAGGTAATAATTGTTTACTTGTAAGTTACTTAAAGTAGGCTCTGAGGTGATTGATCAGAATGATAGTGAAGGCTTTACAATACAACACCATCAGGGAATATTTACATTACTTTAGAAATACGTCTGTCCTGTTGCTTTTACACTTTCTCAACAACAACTGTTTAGAATAAATTGTTTACTGGTGTTTACTATCAATTAAATTTCATTTAGTTGACATTGTGTTTGGGTTTTTTTCGAAGAAAAATCTCCATACTTTTATCACAATAACTGCTCATCACAATTCATATTCCGAGTTAATTTTATCATTTAGGAAGCTAGAAATAAACTTAGTAATAATGAAAATGGCAGCAGATTTATATAAATAGGATATGCCATAATATTGTATAGTAAACATTAATTATACCTATTTTGTTTGCTTACAGATAGATTCAAAGCTAATATTACGGATGTTTTAATTGCTCATTTATTTCACCAGGCTTGAATCAGTTACATATATACATTACATAGACAAGTGACTACTATTGAAATTAACAAGACAAATAAAAATATAAAACTCTGAAAGCTATTCTCCACAGATTTAGTATATATATATACTAAAGGATTGATCAATTAGATCTATATATTATGTCGGTTTTAAGCTTTTATTTGACTCGTCAAATATTGCTATATCATCCGTTCATAAATTACTGTTGTTTGCTTGCTAGCGTGTTATTCAGATTCACATTGTAAATATCCTCGTTATATAAATATAGGGATTCATCATTTACAGTGCATTGTGGTGTCATTTTATTTACACAATCATGTGAGTATACATAATGCAAAGTACTTCTTTAAGTTTCCCCGGTATTATGATTGATAGTTTGGAAACAGGAGAACTTTGTGTAAGCAATCGGATGGGATTATCTTTATTGGAGTGAACAGGAATTATAACATTTACAATAGGAGATAAACTTAATGTCAAAATTAAGTTTACACATCTTACTATTCAATGTTAGGTTCCAGGTATTTAATTATATATACCTTATCATCTACTGATATACTTATTTTATCTGAATGCAGTCAATCTTCGAATTTTGTTGTTGTTTCATTTATAGATTTTGTCAGATAGTATTTTACCAAAACAGTCATCACCATTGTTGGATCAACCAATCATTCCAAAACGTTCAAATACTCCCGTAAGTGTAAAATATCGCAGGGTTAATACACATAATATTTCGTGTAAACAATGAGTCTAATTTTAATTCTAATAACCTGTTGAATAAATTATACAATATATATGAATTAGATAACGTTTTGGGTTTTCGATAACAGTGGAATCGAAGATGTGCATTCTGAAACTCGTCAGATGGGTTAACCACTATCCCAAAGTCGATATTGACATTGATACTCACCATCGCTACAAGCATCAACACGCAGTACACTAAATTACTGAGTAAAACCTACGTTATACTTTCAAAAAGTGAACTTTCACATTTATTAAGACCTTGATAAATAAAGAATATGTCACTTTTAAAGTCGAAATCTTATTCAAAGAGGAAGGAAGCTTACTTTACGTTGATAAGTAATAGTCAATATACTAAAATCATGTAAACTAAATTTATAAAAAAAGGAGTATCAGGGTAGTTATGATAAACATGATGGGGAAATCACATAAATTGATAGAAAACTATACACTTAAGAAATGGACAGTGGAAAGTCTTCTAAACTTCATCATACTAGGCAAAACTCATTGTAGCGATACGTCAATCAATAAAAATATCCATATGATTTACCCAACTAGCTTTTCTATATTGAAAATGTTGTCTCATTAGTATGGGTATTATCTTCCTTCTTCAAGTTCGCATTTATTTTGTAGATAAAAAGAGGTCGAAGTCAAACTCACAGTCGTGGTACATTAAGAGTTCTAAATCAACGTAGTTTTAAAAACAATTACATTATTCCGTCCAGTCCAAAGCCGCCTACCCCTGTTCGCTTTCATTGTAACGGAAGAAGTGGAGTTACAGCTAGAGGAGCACGTAACATCTCAGGAACCAGAAGACAACAAACAAAAAGTAAGTTCACTGATTATATTCACTTTTTAAAATTATTCATCATGGTTACAAATTATAAGCACATCGGTACACTGGTGAGATTACATTTTAAGTAGTATTCACTAAATTTTGGTTATAACCTCTGTTCTACACACGTTTCCTTATTATTTTGCCAGTTATAAAGCACTGCACATAGAAATAAGAATAAACAGCAAATATATGAAAATTCGATCACTACGAATGATGAGTGGAGACAACCTACTGTAATCATGAGGACAGTTTACATCACACATAAATATTTATTGCAAAATTATCGTCGAAAGTCACCCTCCGTTATATAACTGAATCCTTTGAGTAAAACGATTAATTATAAACATTCCACCCAATTTTGAACACCACAAGCACTTACTGTACGTGAAAGTGAGCTTCACAACCATTCCACAAGCGCTAAATAAATCCAGTCTTCATATATGTGAGGGACATCTTAGAAATCACTTCAAGAATTTCGATACCTTTTGTAAACAATGTCTTTCATATGGTGCCCTTAATTGTTTCATTCCATTTTATTTTAACTATAAAATGCAACGACGGAGACAAATACGTCGTCTGCAAATTAAATTACATCAACTGTGAAAAACAACAGTTGACAGTGTAGACGCATCTTGCATGAACTCAACCCGATCTCGTAACCCATACGAAAAGGCTCAACCGACTACATGGCCAGACTTCAGCCGAACAAGACAGTAAACTTGAGTACAGAGATAAATGGAGACAACAAAGCTTACAAAGACAGGCAATCGTAAATAAGGTCACCGACGAACTAATTTGATGTTTGTGGAAGTAAGCTGACGTTGTTGACCATAACAGCAAAATAGCAGGTCTCAGTACTCAAATGTGAGTTCTCACAAGGTCCTTGGGATTTAAGAGTTTTGGTTCATGTAAGTTGCTGACTGATCTATTTTGTCTTACTATTAATAAAATGAGCCATTATATACAGATCGGGTTAACAAAACTGCAGGTTTCCTCCAGCCTGAATAAACGCTACAAGTATCAAGCATAATTTACCACATATTTATAATATATACAATTCAATAAGTCCAAACTCACACCCCAACTAGTAGACTGAAATCTGGTTTGATGGATAAAAACATATTGTCAACACTGACTACTAATTATTGATTTCACTAATAAATAGTTAGTTTCATTAGATACTGGATTCTGTGTTTATTTTTTTTTATTTAGTAAAAAAGTTTTTCCACTGCTATCCTACATTGTATTAGACTCAAACAAATAGAATAGAGCACTGTTTGAAAGTATTAAAATGTCAATGTTAACCTCTGAATGCTTATCAATAACCATAAACTGATGAAAAAGGTGGTTACAACCCTGGTAACATGATAAACAATGGATTAAACAAAAATGTCCAACTGCCTATTTTCGATAAGCTAATTTAAACGTCAGTGGAATCAAGTAGTAATGTCACTGTTATGTCCTTAGACACAAAAAACTATTTCCACATTGTTTTATGCTTAAAAACTTAGTTAATATACTTTACTGAGCAAAACAACTATTTGTAATTCAAATGCATTGACTTACTGTCCAACCACTTTATTCTTGATTTCTGTCTACTTTTTGTAAGATTGTAGTACTCTCACTATGGTCTAATTAATGGATTTTAGTAAAATAAAATCTTCCTGTTGTTTATCCGATGTCAGTGCTCCAACCACTGAGTAATGTATTGATTGCCACCTGCTTACTAGTATTTAGTCGCTTATAACAGAAATCAAGCACGAACTTTCCCCACTAGATAACCACAATATGGAACTATATTGTTTGTACAGCTTTATTTTTCTTTCTCCTTTTAATCGCAGTTGTACAAAAGTCATCTGTAGTAAATCATCCACATCCTGATACACCAAAACAACTAACTTATGAAGATGACTTACAGACAACAATTTTAAGCGACTGGTCCCTAGAAAGTAATGTGAAAAGAATACTCTATGGAGATGAAAAAGATAGATTTTGCACTTCATCTAGGCCACAAAGTGCCAGTGGGATTTCTAATTTTGATCAGGTTAGTTTAAATAAACTATAAAGCATATCGTTACAGTCAACTAAATTTTCAGTTTCCATTTCGTAGAGTACTAACTAGGTTTTTAGTTGGAATATGTAAGCTAAAACAGATAGTATAGTACATTGGTATAGATATGAAGCTACCTTTAAGGATGAAAGTAGATCACACATACGTGCAAATTGAGCACAATACTGTTACATTATCATTGGAACGTTAATAAATGTGGTGATATTAAAAGTGTTGTAATAATCATCACCGTGGAGCGTGAAAGATAAAGTTCTGACATAATAGGCTCGTAATAACGTCCTACTAGCTAGCTTTTTGCAATAAAGTAGCAATACCAATGAATTAAGTTAGACTATTATTACATGTGAAGCCATGTTTTCTGATTAACGTCTGAACAAACTCTAAAACTCATCTTTGGAGTTATTATCAGTTTTTTTAACCAAATGATGTAACTGTTGCTAGAGTGCTCTTCACAAGTACCGAAAAAGATTTGCGTGCAGCAAAACCCTTTGACTTATCAGTCTTTCAATGACTTTGGTATTTCAGTTGGATAAAACCTCTCAAATGAATGGTTAATATGAGTAAATGACGAGGTCAGGAGGGAAAGCATATATGTATATCTAAATGAAACGATACAATTGTTTACATTTGAGAAAATATTTTAAGTATTGATTTAAATATGAGCAATAGCTTTGTATCCCGCAATATGATCGGAAGTATCATATTTTGTACGGCTGGAAAATCTTATTTTTGCAACAAATAAAAATCCTCACAGTTTAATGTGACGTTTATTATCGAATTGCGCAATTCACTTCATATAGCACTCTTGTTTTACATAGAAATGACAAAACAAGGCGGACGTTTATTTCTATTAAAAACCAAAGCTCTAGAGTAGAAACCACTTGCACACTGTACTTGTCCATAATTCCACAAATAGATAGAGGAATCCGTTTTCAAACTATTAGCAAACTGAAACTATACTACCACAACCAAAGATAAATCCCGTATTTTGATTTTACTATTTTATTAGGAGTCACAAATTCCACAAAGTCCACATTCCATGCCAGAAACCGATCTCCTTACTGAAATAGGTGGCGTTCCAAGCACCAGCTTTATTGATTGGGATGAGATCGATGAACTGATTGGTGATTTATAACAATATATTGGACCGAACTTTTTAAACTTACTATGTATCTTTATAATTTTTTCTTCAGTAAAAAATAATGCTCATAACAAAAAGTCTTATCATTGGTAGATTTCAAAGGCCACAAGTTTAACACAATTATTTAGGAAGACAATATTTACTTTTGTAATATCTAAGAACATGAGACTTAGGTTGGTAATTTTCAGTAGCATTAAATGTAAAAGTTTTAAGTTACTATGATCCTATTCTATGAATACGAAGGAGATTTTTCAGATAGGAATAAGAAAAACCAGGAAATTCTATATGTATTTAACGCCACTTCAACATGTAAGAATTTGTTTAGTCAACACACTTAAACCAATCATAGTCCGATAACAGTGAAGTCACACGGATTCCAAAACAGCCAAGCTGATAAACGCTACTCATACTGAGGCCTTTGATATTAGATTTTGTGGGATATAAGAGCATAAATACCAAAATCGCGCTAAAAAACGATCTGATACTACAAGAATACAGTATTTATTAGGCAAGATTTAAAGACAAATGTTCCAAAATCGTACTTCAACCTCCGAAACATGAGGCATACAAGATAAACTTCTTGTTAGACCATACACTTGATTCCTTGATTTTAAATGTGAAGAAAGTGAACGACTAACGTATGAATATTATTCTCGTTAGGTCTTCACTGAATTGCTGAGTATTAACCTCAATATATCAACTAGAGTTTGATAGGGTCAGTCATCATTAGGTCTCAAAACTACATGCTCGAACAAACCCACATTGCTTAAGCGAATAAGCAATGAATTCATTTGGACTCGATGAAACGATTAAAAACGCAGAAAGACCAGATGTGGAGACCATCAAACCGAATGAACTACGGAGCATATCCATACTAATGACTTCTACCAGCTACATGATGATCCTGAAAGTTTTATGAGACATTGATCGATGGTACCTCTAGACACTCTAAGACTTCCCCGTCTTCCGTTTTGTTGGATCACACTGGAAAAACGCACATTTATGGTATTGAAAAGGACATAAATTTATCGATAGAAACCACCATATTAAAGTATCTATTCTTTTCACAAGATTCACACAAAATATACAGTCCGTTCCTTGTATACTGAATTACTATATGCAAACAAGATTTGAATATAACGATTCCTTGTTCCATATGTTAGGCACGCGGATGCACTTCTTTTCCTTTCTATCGTATTTTAAGGATTTTAGCAGCCCAAGTCACGCTTATGGACCATACGTCGGCTTAGTAATCAACCGGAGAGAAATCTTAACACATATTTTCGAAATGGATATCAAACATTTCAGAAGTTGCTACGATCTTTGATTGTTAGTTGATCAGTAAATTAAGTTTACTTATTTTGTTATCTCAGGAACAATCACGACGCGAACAATGTTTGATTACAGTAGCAAAAACACGATTGTCTAACCTAAGTAAGCTATAAATATCTACCACCTTCGCAGATCAGTTGATGGCATTAACTGTTGTCAAACCACAAGATAAGCTCCAACTCAAAGCCTCATGTACAACATAACCTTAAACGGCTAATCTAATCATCCTTCTGGCCAAAAAGTAGCGACGAATATAATTAAGAATTTACACTATATATTTTTCCAATGTCCCTGGTAAACGCTTTTCACGGTACTTTTATTTTCATTCGATACTGACAACTTTTATTTAAATTTTAGCATGCTACTTTCCCAAAAAACTTCGAAATCAGGCTTTTCAAGATACATTTTGTGAGAAAAATTTGGAGTATTTATATTTATTCAACTATCATATTTGCATAGTACACAGCAATAGTGTCAATCAACGGCCTGAACGTCAGAAGATTTAATTAACTTCGAAATATCAGCTTCAAGTTTTTCAAGATCACTGTCCATCTCAGCAAGTAAATATCATCTAAGAAAAATAGTCACAGGAGTTGCAGAAAAATGTGTGTAAAAACAAATACCAATCCGTAAATTGTGTTCTAATCGAGTTCTATAGATCCTCCAACTGTACAGATAATGATGAATTTCAAAGAATACTTAAATTTGAGAGTGTCCATAGATAACTTTGTACTTGGCTGATATAACTGTCAACGTTAGCACGCAAACAAAAGACATTTTTGGTGTTTGTCTATTCCGAAAGCTGTTTATTGAAGTGCCCTCCTTACTTATCTCATTTCAGTTTCGTTGGGATATGTGACGGAAAACTAATTAACAACGACGATCGTTATAAAGTCGTATTTGACGAACATCTCCGAGCACAAATCGTATTGTTACTTTTGCTTAATATAGATGAACAACATGTTGATCTAGATAAAATAAAAGCCTATTAAAATTTAAAAACACTGAGCGATGAGTTTGGAGTAGGTGAATGGAACCTGAATACGGACAGAAATATTTTTATAGATCTTAAAAATATTTGCGTATGAAATTGTATTAAAATGGTTTAGCTATTAACTAATTGCATCTCGTATTTTCACAATTTTCAAGTGTATGATAGAAATAACAACTAAATAAAGTTGCCCGAATTGACTGTTTCTAACAGATGTCAATAATTTGAAAAATGCAAAGAAAGCTTTACAAAAAGGATATTACTGGATGAAAATCTTTCTTCCATTGAGACCAAAGACTTCTCAATATCCCGAATAGAAGCTTCCAACTACACCTTCATCTTACTTTGAAGCAGAACAAACCTGATTATTTATAGTTTCCAAGTCTTTTCGGCATGCCTCGGTCGATTTTCTTGATTGGTCTGCTCCCTCTTGAACTGCCGCCATTTCTCAAAAAACCGAAACTGTGTCTACAACAAACTAGAACTTGAATGATTCAAACATCTCTAGCATTTACAAAGGACAAAAACCGTTCCTATAAGTGAGCATCAGGATGCCCAAAAAGACTTTTTTCATCCGAATCAGCCTTAATTTGTGTCTCTGAAATTCCTAAACTTGTTAAGTTTGTTAATAATGGCATTTATTTGAAGTAATCTAATCTCATTCGACATACAATACCTTCAGTCTTCAGTAGAAAGGATGGGATTTCTGCAATTTGCGATAATGTGAAGATCGAAGTGTGCTTTGTTTATATCAACAAAAATTGTTGTGTTTACATATTCTGGTATCTCGATTTATGAACAATTTTAGATATTCTTTGATGTTTGAATGAATCAATGATACCTTAGTACTTGTTGAATCCTCGATTTCAAATTCCAAATACAATACATTCGTTTGTGCTTGTGTCTTACTTCCTAATTCAATTGCGTTATTTCTGGGATTCCTAGTTCATACTACAATTCAAATATTATATGTTCTTCTAAGATAATCAGCCCTAGACGCATGTGAATGATAAGATACATTAATCCCAGAACTATTATTATTATCATTAGCTTTATTCAATATTATAATTTTGGTACAATATAGAATTCTCAGCGCAAAGTATTTCAACAAGTTTCCGTTTCTTTCTTCTTGGTCGGTCCTGGCGATAAATATTGAGGAATCGCCAGTTAGATGTTAGCACTTCAGTGAATGAAAAACTGAATAATGTACATTCTTTTCGTTGTACATTGCCAGCAACCATATTGTCTTTTATTGAGTTTTCTGTAACTTTGACAATGAAAGGTTGTACACTTTTCAGAAACGCAGCAGAATAGGTTATGCGATTAATAAACATAATGATATATTAAAACAAACAACAATAGATAACTTGTTGAAATATCTAGATGACAGGAACAGGTAGCCCAGATGCTCAAGCAGGCCGCCCTATGGAACACTCTACTACAAGCCAGTTTAAATCTCTTCGTAACCTGTGTAAAATAACGGAAATAAGTGTAGGTATCACAATTTGTGTTCATATGATAGACCAGAGTGTTTTGTTGTGTTGATTCATCGCCGTTGGGCTGGTTTAGGCTTATCTGCTACACAATTGAAACAAGGACTGACTGCTTGAATCCCCTATTTCAAATATAGCCTCACGAAAATCTAATATAATACTAGCGAAATTTCTTCGACCATGCACTGAAGTGACTTACAAATAAAACATAAGACACTGAGGCCTTTGACACCAACAGCCTTGCAGTTACTCGTAGTTCCTAGGACGTTGCTTATTACGACTCCCAGTTATTCATAGTCTACTACTAACTGTAATAAACTCCACTTAACGGTTAGTGATATGAATCGTCGCTTTTATTCATTTTCACTGTTACACTCTCACTAGAATTAACTTCAAAAGGCCATCTATTCATTCATTGAACCAGAGAACTTAGTTCCGTCCGTATGTTTATCGTATCTGATGTATGGTGTATGGGTCTGCAAATCTTGATGTCATTTGCAAAGAGTAGAATGAATGACTTTGCTGCAGTTGCTACAGATTCACACCTTGATGCAGTCTCATATACATGTACATGGGGCTTTATTTATCGCTGATTATGTCACCTTCAGTTTATGATTTATAGAGACATATAGATCACGTAATTTCAGTAACAACAATAGTGAAAGCCACATTTTTGCGATTGACACTTCATGTGTAATCACCCTTGTTAATGAGTGGCTGACAATATATTTGAGATATAGCTGGTATATACCACAATTACAGGCATCATTATTAATTTAGGATTTTGGTTTATCGTTAGGATACTACTTAATCACATTATTGAACATACAAGATGAGTGAAAATACATGGCAAAATATTTGTGCACGGGTAACAATGAATAAATAATGAATTTAGTACAATAGCACTGTAAGATCCAAACTACGGTTTGGAGTGAAGGACAGCTGTCTGGATCAGTTAGACACGCGCCCTCGCCCGATTGAAACCAAAACAAAGTAATTGGGTAAGATGACGGTTCTATAATTTATCATAAATTCAAGCGTACATTATTACCTAAACAAATATAACCACTCAGCTATCCAACCAATAATTGTTCAATTGATCAAATCTGAATTACAATAAATAAGAAAGCTGATAAAGGATGCAAGAAAATTACCAATCACCACAAATAAATGTTATTCTATCCTGTCTGGATAGATCACGTACAGATTCGTTCAAAAGGTAATAATTGGTCGCCCTATAACACAGAGTGTTTTCAATTCT